AAACCCTAAGGACACTCAGTGTGAGCACAACTGGCACCTTGCAGGAACACTTCAAAGTTTAATGAAACAATCAGTGTGACATCACTGACAAGTGACACCCCGGGTCACCCGAAAGACGTGTCACATTTCTAGCACCAGACTGAAGCACCTCACAGAGGTCACACGACGTCATGTGTGGTCTAACGGATTACGTGGGTAATGTGACGTAACTGCTCTGCGGAGGCGGTCCCAGTGCCGCGCCACTCAAACCCAGCCTAGCCACAGATTACCGAGCTAGAGAGACCCCCGGGCTCGCTGGAGCGACCTCTATTATACAGTGCGGACGCCGGACAGGCTGGTGACAGGCAATGGGCGCAGCTGTAGCCGGCATACAACTGAGCCAGCGAACGTCTCTACCTGACGAGCTGGCCCTCGAATGAGACAGGCAAAACTGGAACACATTAGAATTCCCGGTAGGCATATGATAACATGCACTCATATGCATGCAGGTCTGCTGTATTTGTAGTAATTACAGCAGATAGGTGAAAAGGCCGGACCTAATGGCAGACACCATTTTCTCGACCTTGACCTCGGTCGGTCGGATCACGTCCCTTTCAGACGTCTGTCCTCTGCCCTGATAGGGAAATCACGCACCAGCATTCACAGACGATATTCCGATGGGAGATGCATTTACATCGCGTGAACCGTATCCTCTCTCCATTTGAAAGCCAACAGACAATGCGCGGTAACACCAAGCAGAGGAACAACGGTAGAGTACCAAATAGAATAAACCTTCTCGGCTGCGTACAAACTTACCATTTCAGCCAATAATCCCACTTCTCATCCCAGCTTCCTGCAGCTGCAGACGCTGGCCCACAGACTCCAGACGACGTGCATCTATGATTCTATACAGTGGCAGGCACCTTGCAACAATTGTGACGCATATATTGTACTATTTAGCCAGCAAAGGTTAGTATTTATATTCAACTGCATACAATACCAGTATAACGCCTTTTGGGGCGACTAACGGAGCGACCGAGAGGGTGACCCTTGCACGTGCGAAATTTCGAGGGGGTACCTCCAGCTGACTTGTGCACGGCACCCTACTAACCGGTCTCTAGCGATGTGCCAAATTTGAGCACAATCGGCCCAGCCGTTCTCGAGATCTGGAAGCGGCACCCTGCGCGTGCGCACGTGCAAAATGGGTCCCAACTGACTTTTGCACGGCACCCTACTAACCGGTCCCTAACCATGTACCAAATTTGAGCGCCATCGGTCCAGCCGTTCTCGAGATCTGGAATCGACCCCTGCACGTGCGCACGTGCAGCAGCACCCCAACTCTGGCACATGGATGTGCATCGCCTAGTGGGTGCCTATCTACATGCCAACTTTCAGCGCAATCGGCCAAGCAGTTACCGAGATATTGCAACAATTACAAAAGTGACACCTCTTCGTTTTGCACGTGGCACGTGCATAAGGGGTCATCCACATGCATCGGGAATAGTCCAATACTTGGTAGAAGGAATGAAGCTACCCTACAAAAATTACCGCGTGTAAATCGGTCAAGTGGTTGCTGAGATATAAGCCTCGCAGAATCGTGACCACGGCCGGCCGGCCGGCCGCTCATACTCAGAAATTTCCGTTATTCTACGTAAGACTCCGCTCGCTTCGCTCGCTCCGTAACAAACGGACTCAGAATCAGGCTGCGTCCAGTGCAATGTCCGGACGAAGTTCACTGCGGCTGATTCACTTCATTACATTCAGTTTTTTTTTATTAAAATTATCAGGAAGAATCAGACAAAAGTTAAAACAAAAAAGCAGAGAACAACAATAACCAGTATAACGCCTTTTGGGGCGACTAACGGAGCGAGCGAGAGGGTGGGCCTTGCACGTGCGAAATTGCGAGGGAGTACCTCCAACTG